TATATATATTTATATACTATATATAAACTATTAAAAAAAGAAAAAGGAAAACTATTCTTACTCGACGCGTTTCGTCTTCTGAGTCTTTATCAAGGCAAATGCAAGATTTGTTTTGTTGCTGGTGTTGCAAGGTTATTAACCATCTGATGAATTTGCATGAGTGTTCTCAACTTGAAAAGTCTTGATAAATCAATCAAACCCTTTATTCTTGTATATGAACACGTGCCAAAAAAATTACATTTATCTTGAATAGTTTTTTCTCTTGTCTTTTTATTCATTTGGATCTTTTACAGGTACTGTCTATCAGAAAATAGTTCATACAACAGACACACAGAAATACACGTACGCACACACACTCACTCACATATATATGTATATATATGAATATTAACACTTAGATAAACATATATACACATAAATAATACAGACATATTTCACGAATTAATATGTGCGTGTGCGCGCGTCTGTCTGAGTTGATGTCAAATATTAGAATTATTATTGTTTTTTACCTCTTTTGAAGATCTTTCTGTTTTCTGGCGTATTTCTTAAATTAAGTTATTATTGAATACAGGCAGTTGCACATATTATTTTGAGCGGTATTATTCAAAAATATATATATGCGTGTATGAATGTGTTTATAAGCGTAACGTATATGTGTGTGTGTGTGTGTGTGTGTGTGTGTGTGTGTGTCTGTGTGCCTGTGTGTGTATTTTTGGGAGGGTACACATGCGTTTAAAGATGACAATGAAATTAATAGATATAAACATACTTTCTCCCTATTAGAAAACACTTCTTCTATATATTAGGATCTTGAATAAATTCTCACTGATTTTCCATAAAAAAGTAATGTTTTTTTCACAAAAATTAGTAAGAAAATGTCACTAAAACTATTGTCCATCACTGGTCACTATTTTTCCCATTTTTTCTTGTTGCATTTGAATTCCACGTGGGGAAAAAAACGGCACATCTTTTGAGGCTAACCGTGAGTCGATCTATATTTTGGCATCTTCATAAAAATGAAAGTGCTGATCAGTCAGACCATGTGCCATTCATCAGAACAATAGATAATCGGACGGGATAATGACTGGTGAATATAACAAGTGGGGTATCATTTCCTATTGAATCGTTTCCAAGTAGGTTTTGACCTGTTTTGCAACATGTGGTCTAGCGTTGTCATGTTGCAAAATCACTTTATTGATTCTCTGCTCGTACAGCGGCTGATTTTTCTTCAATGCTCGCCTCAAACGCATCAATTGTAGTCGATAGTGATCACCCGTAATGGTTTCGATCGGTTTGAGCAGGTCGTAATAAACGACACCTAACTGAACCAATCAAATTCTGTGCAACAGCTTCGAACCCTGGATATTCGGCTTTGCTGTCGAAGTTGATGCATGCCATGAATTACCCCACAAACTTATACGCTTAGTGCTATTGTAGTGAATCGTTTTTTTCATCGCCTGTCACATTATGATGCAAAAAAAAAAAATTCTTTTTCTGCTGTTGTGTTTTGGAATCCTATATATTTCTCAACGATGTTAGTTTTTTAAATTTCAGGTGATAACTAAAACCAGAATTTATCATTTTCAAAGTAAGCAGGTGCTTCAGCTTTGAAAACTTAGTGTAATGAAAGTTTCATTTTTTCACCCCCCCCCCAACACAGTATGAGATAGATTCAAAACAAAGTTATTTTTTCCTACATCTCTGAGATGAGGTATTATGACTACTTACATTATTTTTGTACGCTTCTTCAGCTGATTGGAATTTCGAACCGACTCATAGGTCAGTGATTAGATAGGCGTTGGTTAGATCCAGGGACTAGGCCCAAAGAGTTGTGAGTTCAATACCTGGCTACAACAGTGGTGAACCACAATTTGGAGAGTTGTGTTAAAGAGAAATAACAGAAACATGTAGAAGAATCATGACACGTGGAACTATAATAATCTACTCGAGTGGACGAAATAAAGGATTCGAATGGAAATTCCAATCACCTGAAGAAGGCCGGAGTGTACAACGGCCGAAACATTATGAATATGGTAATGAAGATAAGGATAACAGTGCGAATAACGTAAATAATGAAAGTTATTTTTTTAGTGTTTTCCCTGGGGTAGTTTGCGTCTGTTTTATAACAATTACAATTACTTTAAGTGTAGCAACTATTTAAAGACAAACTTGATATATTGTTTCTCCTTTTTTGTTTTACTTTTTGTTATCGATCAAAAATGTGAGATTTCTGTGTTTGGAATGTATACACATAGTGTGAGAAGAAGGATATATAATTGGCAAATTGAGCTCAGTTTCTGGCTGGGGTAGTTTGTGTTCCATCACATTATTCTCTTGGTAATAGCAGAAATTCATCACTTTTTCCGATCCTCAACTATGGGATAAATAGTAAGGAAATCTCAGGGCTTATCATTGGTTGAAAAAATATCTACTAGTGATAGGTTCGATTAGAAAACCGAACAGAAAGAAACGCTAAGACGCTTCATTCATCATTCATTTGATCGGTCTCATCATAGCTCTCCATTCTATCCTCTCTTATATTACTCAAAATAACTTTTGACTCTTTACCTTCCCTTTATTTCTCAATTCTGTTAGCCACCCACAAAATTCATTAAGTTTGTGATCACCATTTCCTTGCCTGTAATGCTTCCTTTAATTGTTATAATTTCTTCGCCCTCTTTCCTCATCAGTTGTCAAGGAAATTTAAATTATATTTCTTTGATTGTAAGTATGTGTACCTGTTTCTGTTTTTCTTTAACGTTCTCAATGCTCATAAGTAAAATCGATAACAATTTATCGTCTGTCAGTAAAAACACATCTCTGTCGCCTCACGTCTCTTTTCGTATGTGAATAAATTATTTGATTTTCACAGCTATAAGGAATAACAGATGTTACAGCGTTGGTCAACAGGATTTCTAAATACCTTGCTTAGATTGTGAAATACAACTTATTCCGATATTCTTATGCGTTTCCAGTTTACTGAGTTATAACCATGCTCATGTAGGTTATTAGCAGGATACACATTAACGCCCTGTTTTCATATTTACATGGCTTAGAGGCTGTTGCTTTTTTGCTTTTCCATGTACTGTGTCTCTTTAAGACATGGGTGATCATGGCTCTCCATACTTTCATGTCTTTTGTAGTTTTCAGTAACATTTGTTTTAATCATCTTCATCTGAGGAACTCACTGTTCGGCAATCCATTTAGACAAAGTCGTTACTTAGGTTACTCGCCATTTCCGTCTGACATTTTTATATTAAATCTTTCCTGTGATTATCAAATTAACGAAAGCCTCTTTTCTCATTATGTTTCTTAGAAATTTCTAGTCTCTTTCTGTCCGTAAGCGTCTTTTTTGTTTTCATTTTCCTTAAAACGTCCTCGTTACTCTCATTTTTATTTAGAGTGTTCTCAGCATGCTTCTGTAGAAGCACATCATGTCTCAAGTCTCTCCTTCATCTGTAAGGAGATTGTCAGTATTCACTGCGATATAAGAGGATTGATATTACACACCATTTAAATACTAGCTCCTTTGTTTCTAAAGAAAGTTTTCCGTTTCTTAAGACTTTGCTTTTCTGTTCAAATGCGTCTTCAGATTTTGATATCGCATTTTCTGTCCTTTATTAAAAAATTATTATATGTCTTGCTATATGGATCCGCTTGTTCATCTTGGTGGTTATAGTCACGGGTCTTTTTCAAAAAATTTCCTACTTACTTGGTAAACATTTCAGAATATTCAGCCTAAAACATTTTTCAATTTAGAGGTAGGTTTAATTGTTTTCTTCATCTTTTCTATTCTTATTAGCTTTTTTATATCACTTAATACACAGCAGATCACATTCATATCATTTATGCGTTTCTTTCTCTGTTACAATTATTACGTATAGAATATCACCATTACATTACTCAAGAGTTGGATAAAATATAGCTGAATCTATATCAGCTGTGAGTCTGGTGTCTATGTTTACTTATGATGTAAAATAATATATTTGGTTCGGTGGAATTAACAGACAAGACATTAACTATGTAAGACAGGTTAGTTTGAAAAGTTATGAAAGGAAAAACTGAACAATGTACGTCGACTAAATAAAGTCTCCGGTTAAACAGTTTGCGATTACCAATAATAATTCACTACCTGAAGAAGACTGATAAGTACAACGGCCGAAATGTTGTGATTATATAGTATTTTTCATTTCAACCTTTGGAAATAAAGTCTGATGATCCAGAGCCTTTTAAAAGGGCTGTGGTGAAATAATTTATTACATGGAACCTTAAAGTGGTCTGTTTTTTATTCAAACAAATATATATATAGATATGTGTGTGTTTGTCTGTCTGTGTTTTTCTGTCTGTGTATCTCTATGTGATTGTGACATGATTAAATATAACAAAATATATGATATTATAATATTGATTTCCTGTGATGTCAGAAACTCCACCTGAAAGAAAAAATGATTTGATACAAGCAAACGATCGTTTTCGCCAGATGGGGAATTTCGCCAAAACGAACGCTGAACAAGTGGAAATTTCAGGGTCTCGACGACTAGATCGCTGACAGCATATATATAATTTGTAATCTCGGCTAATAGCGTATGCATTCAAAGCAGTTTCGCACTTACTCAGAAAGACTTGGAAGTATGCATACACACTGAGTTATTATCCATAAATTACGATTTTCATATTTGATACTATGAGAGTGTTTGATAGTTTGTACACGTCTGTGTGTGTGTGTGTGTGTGTGTGTGTGTGTGTGTGTGTGTGAGAGAGAGAGAGAGAGAATGAATACGCATGAGCTAGTCTCCAAAGATGTTTCTTTGTGATATGTCTTGATTTGTATCTGCCAAATAAGGCAAAGCCGGATACGAAAACAAACTTATGCATGCATATATATAAACTATAATCATATCTATCTATCTATCTATCTATATATATATATATATATATATATATATATATATATATATATATATATATATATATATATATATATATATAATCCTTTTTTCATGTCTATCTATCTATCTATCTCAGTCCTTTTCATATCTATCTATCTATCTATCTATCTATCTATCTATCTATCTATCTATCTATCTATCTATTTATCTATCTATCTGTCTATATATATATATAAATATATATATATATATCAGTCCTTTTCATATCTATCTATCTATCTATCTATCTATCTCAGTCCTTTTCATATCTATCTATCTATCTCAGTCCTTTTCATATCTATCTATCTATCTATCTATCTATCTATCTATCTATCTATCTATCTATCTATCTATCTATCTATCTCAGTCCTTTTCATATCTATCTATCGATATATATATATCTGTGTGTGTGAGTGTGTGTGTGTGTGCAAGCGCGCATCATTCATTAATTCTATTGTTCATGTTTTAATATTCTTTTCGTTCCTCCATAAATGTCTCACAATCTACTTGCGGTGTCTTGCTATCAACTAAGGGAGATATAGAGAAAATGATGTTTCAAGGTGGACAGACATTCAGAGAGACCTGACCTAACTCGCTGACAATGTAGTTGCCAGTTAGCAAACAGTGCCAGGATTTCTGCAGCAACCAAACTCTTTATCTCTACTTTCACGATAAGCGGTAAACAATCTTCCACACCTTCCATTTCTCTAAATTGTGTCAAACTAAGCTATGATTAAATTTAATATCTCCGGGTTTGCATGGTCAGTGAGATGGTGGGACGCATCCTATTGAAGACACACGGATGCGTTCTAATCTCGATAAACGGCCAGCAATACATATGCGCATATATGTAACATTTGAAATGTCAGCGATATTTTAGTTTTTTTTTTTTTTTTAAATATGCTTTTTTTCTTGCTTTTATTCACACAAAACCTTGACTCAGAACCTCTCAGTGAAAACGGTTATAGAAAAAGACTTTTGTGCAGACGGAAGTTGTGAAATTCTGCGGAAATGCGGTATAAATAACTTTCGAGAGTCTGTTCAACAGAACAAAAGTCATTGGATAAAAGATGCCTGAATGGCACCTCTGCGTGACCAATGGAACACCGCATTTTTCGACTTCCAGATTTTCTGCTGAAGTTAATTGAAATTAACTGAGAAATCTGTTAAATCTCTCCTTATTCCTTATTTAATCGCCTGCCGAAATTAATTAATATTTTAACATTTACACACACACACACACACACACACACACACACACACACACACACATATATATATATATATATATATATATATATATATATATATATATATAAGCAAGTGTAAATGGATAAAATCCGACAGAATGTAGAAATTTTGAAAAACAAACAAAAATCCATAAATGTAGTTAAAATGAAAGAATTGTCGACGTCAGACGTTTCGGTTTTAATAAACCATTTTCAAGACAAAATTCATTAAAATACAAATTCAGTTCAATATGACGAAAACGATGGACATAAAAACACAAGTCTTATCCAAGAGTAAAACAGATAACTGAAAATTTTTAAAAAGATCAGCTTTCCGTTTAACGTGGTCACGCCGTAGTCACATGGGCGACGCTCCCATAACGTATTCCTAAAAGTTCGTGATTATTTTAAAATTCCTGTATTTCCGGATAAGCCTGCAATCTTCCATGTTGTAAAAAACGAATTTAGGTTTGTGTTTTCAATAGACAGTATATAAGCAAGTGTAAATGGATAAAATCCGACAGAATGTAGAAATTTTGAAAAACAAACAAAAATCCATAAATGTAGTTAAAATGAAAGAATTGTCGACGTCAGACGTTTCGGTTTTAATAAACCATTTTCAAGACAAAATTTGTATTTTAATGAATTTTGTCTTGAAAATGGTTTATTAAAACCGAAACGTCTGACGTCGACAATTCTTTCATTTTAACTACATTTATGGATTTTGTTTGTTTTTCAAAATTTCTACATATATATATATATATATATATATATATATATATATATATATATATATATATATATATATATATATATATATATATATATATATATATACCCACACACACACACACACACACCATATATATATGAAATGGAAAAAAAGATCGACTGTTATTTTAAGACATTTTATGTTTATACATTCTTTTTTATGGATACAAATATTTAAGTAAATGCTCTGTTTATAGTAATCAGTATTAACAACATTTACCGGCCTGAATGTCCGAGAAATTTTCTTAGAAAATATGCGTCCTCCGACAGGAATCGAACCAGTATCCTATATGGAAAATTGTAGTTTAAAACAGTAAAATTGACATTGCTAGCCGAGACGCTCCTCTGGCGAAATCGGTAAAACACGTTAGGCTATATGACAGTTATGTATAGGATACAGGTTCGTTTCCTGTCGGAGGACTAGTATTGTCTATGACAATTTCTCGGGCATTCAGATGTTATTAATACTGTTTATTATACACATAGCATTTACTTAAATATTTGTATCTATACAAAGATTGTATAAACATGAAAAAGAAAACTGTTTCATATTTGCTAAATTTATAGTGGATGATTCTTCGTATCGATGTTCATTCTCGGGAGTTGCTTCCTGTTTTACTTTATCGGAATGACCGGTCTTACAATTACGACAATAATTGCTAATATAGCTACTGAATTGAGCCATGTTTTTTTTTACTGCACACTCTTACCAGGAAAAGACAAAACTTCTTACAGCGTTCATATCAAATTCTTATTTGATCATTTAATTCATGAATCACTTCCCAGATTACACTTATTCTTTCATGCACGCATATACATATATAGATGCAATCCTAATATAATATATCTAAAATAGCTTTAGTGAGAAATAATTCCTGGAATGCCCAAAAAGATATTCATATATGCGCGTGTAAAAAATGAACCGAATCAAAGTTTTAAGTCAGGTAATTACAAAATATTTCAACTATTATTTAATTAATTCCAATTGCTATAGTTTGTATTGCAGATCAAATTGATTCAAGGATGAATTATATTTCTTAATGAAAGATCCATGAAAAAATGATATGCAGTATTTCGATGACATCTTCAGCAATTCAATAGGGTCTGACAAATGATGATTCGGGATTTTTTCTTACAGGGCTGGATAGGAAAACATCCATGTGCCTGTCGGTAGGAATATATCAGGATGAAGATTACAGATATATCCCTAAGAATTTTTGTAACTACCAAAACTTAATTTTTCTTTCAAGTGTGTAGAGATTTATATTTTCTCCAAAATTTGCATCGAAATAGATGGAATCTCTAAGACGGTTTCATCAATGTTGGCATAAATATCACGGAGAAGAGCTCTTTGTATGGTATAGTAGGAATTCTAGTGCATTAAGAAAATTAGTATGCTAATGCCTAGACAATATCTGGAAACCAAAAGAAACACACCCACCCACACACGCACACACACACACACACACACACACACACACACACACACACACATATATATATATATATATATATATATATATATATAACACTTTTCTTCATTTTCACTCTAACGTGGTCATGTGTGACGTCATGAACCACAATGCGATATTTTGCTTACTGCGTTTCATATGCACGAATTTATCGTTGCCTATCAATCTTCCATGCAAACAAAACAAACTATCATTGCTGCAATGTCCGCATAACCATTGTAAAACAAAAAATTACCATCTCTGTTATATAATCTATTATTTAATTTATTGCAATGTACTTGTAATCTCTGATGATGGCTTATGTAAGCTTAAAGCTTAGACAGGATTAACAATAAAAACATATATCAACATAGTGAATTTCTTTTGTTTTTCAGTGATAGTGCTAAAAAGCTTACTCGACAATATGAAAGAAATTTGCTTCAAATAAATAGACAAAACTTACCTATATTATTTAATGAAACATGCATTAATAATATATATATATATATATATATATATATATATATATATATATATATATATATATAAAGTGGAAAGTGAGGTCAAAAACCAAAGGCGACTGTCTGTTTCATGCTTAAAAGTAATAGTCATAAACAGACTTTTGCCTCAATGTTTTAATCTCAATATCCATTTTAATATACACATATTTTTTTATCTTTGAATATCACTTTAACGCATAAATATAGCATAGCTTAAAATATATATTTATATCATATTTATTACCTGACCTGATGGATTTTTAAGGATTCTGTATCCATTATTATATCACTCAGTTCTTACATTGATCTCTCTATGGATTTATATCATCCTTGGAATTATCCTTACTAATCATCAATTGATATTATAATAAAAATGATAATCGATTCGGATGTGAAATTTAAATTTGTATTTAACACTGAGATACCACGGAAGGTGAATGTTAACAACATCAATAAAAAAAAAATCAAGTTTGAGTTGACCAATTGGCTATTTTTTCATGACTTTAGGGATATATTCCCATGGTTAAAAATGGTTATGTGGGCCGACGATTGCCTCTCCAAATAAGTAAGATCAATGTATATTCGGAGAAAAAAATTAACTGGAATGTCAAACACAGGGTTGTTTTGAAAGATCTTTCTGCCATTGTTAATTATTTGTTAAATTTTTAATGAATATCTCGACTTTAACTAAGTTAAAATTTCGTATGTTTTTTAATAAGAATAAATAGGTTTTCCTACCGACTGATCTATACACACCAACTTCTCTTGAACAACAATAGAGGTGCATCCCTTGTTTCCTGTTTAGGAAGTGTTTCCCGGTTTCTTTCTTCTTCTTAGGCATTAATACCGGCACTGTGAACCTTTGTGATACGTGTGGATGGTGGCACCGTCTCTTCATACTGAAGGCAGCAGGCTGGCAGTTGTCTGGTTTGCTGCTTCCCGACTGGTAGGTAAGAGCAAGAACTAAGGCGTAACGTCTAGAGTGGCTGTTCTGATCAACATTCGCATAATATCGGTCCTCTTGCAGTATCATGTAGCGCCTGGAAGGGTGTCAGTAAGAACCTATGGTGTGAAACCCCGTTACCACATGTTGTAGTCTGCGCCAGTTCCCAGCCCGCACATGTTACATTAAACGAATGAATACTACTATTACTTTCGGCCTTCAACTTACCAAATAAACACGCCTTGAAGATCAGCGACCAACGAAATAAAACAAAACCAGCTCAGCAAAAACACCTAATGTATAGCATCTCATCAGTTCAAATCTAAAGATTATTGCTGGCGTTTCAATAGTGTGCTGAGTAACAGAATATTCTCAATCCCTCCTCGGTTCAATTAATTCAAAGTCCTGACAGATAAAGTTGAATGCTTTGCTCGGAAATTCTCATCCAACTCAACACTCGACTCATCTGGAATACCACACCTGAACAGAGGCTCTACTGATTGATATGCGCATAATCCCGTCAATGGTTTCAGGCATCATTTCTCAACTAAACCCTCAGAAGGCAAGCATAGGCGACGGGATCCAACCCATCGTACTAAAGAAATGTGCTCTAGATCTGGCTACAGAAAATTCCATAGTTTACGACAAATGCCTCGTTGTCTATGGTTTTCTAGTTTGTTAGAAGTCCTTCTGTGTAGTTCCTGTATGCAAGAAATCTGGAGAAATTTCAGACCCCTTTAACTATCTCGCAATAAGTCCCTTACCGCTTTCCGGCAAATTATTCGAGGCTTTAATCAATACTGAACTGGTTAATAATCTTACCTCTTACAACCTACACTAGATCAAAAAATATGGCTTCCATTTCTCCAGGTCTACCGCTGATATTTTAATGGCCATCATTGAATATGTATATCAAGCTGTTGATAATAACAATAAAACTCAACCTGTGACTCTAGATATATCGAAGGCATTTTACAGTGTATGGTATGCTCGTTTTCTACGGAAGCTTCAAGACTGTGATATTACAGGACGATTATTTGATTTAATCCAATCGTTCCTATTAAATCGTAAAATGAAGGTTGTTTTGAAAAAGGTCGCTTCCAGGTCCTTTCACACGAACGCGCGTGTCCTTCAAAACTCCCTCCTGAGTCCTACGCTGTTTGCGATATTCATCAATTATCTCCTTGATACCATCAGTTCACAAGTTGGTATTTATGCTGATGACACGACTATTTAATTCTGTCTCAATATCAAAACTTACAAAATAAACCTGGCTGATACGCTTAAAAATGATATCCAATCAGTGGTTAACTGTGACAGGAAATGTCTAATTTTAACGCATCCAAAACAAAAAGGCTCCCAATTAACCACAATAGAGAAACTCTTCTGTCTACTATGAACATCGTTGACGGTAAACTCCTTGAGAATGAGACTTTCTTGGTCTCACATTTTCCACTGAGTTGAATTGGAGCGACTACATTTCAGTAGCTGCATCTAATGCAAGGACAATTGGGTCACTGGATTGTGTTAGAGTCCATCTTGCACATTTACAAATCTACCATTCGTCTGTACATTGAATACTGCAGCCCTATCTGCTCTGGTATTTCTGTTATTCAGCTCCAGATTCTTAACAAAAGCCAAAAAAGGACCTGCAATGTAACTAATCCTGACTTGACATTTCGGCTTCAGACACATTTTCACTCATGTGTCTTGGTTTTTCTATCTTTTTCTTTTTTTTTTTAATATTTTCATGTCAACTTCTTTTATAAGCTTCCCCCCCTCCTGGTGCACCGACAACATGAATTTAAGCGTGTTACTAGATTGCCATCTATAACACACTCTCTTAATGTTGAAATAGTTAAATGCAACCATCACTTCTACGCTAACAATTTGTTTTCTCGTACGTCGCCACATGATAAATACAGGGTGTTGCAGCAAAATCCGGCCTTAACAAAAAGAAAATGAAATAGGCAATAAAAACAAAAGTTCTATATGCAGATACCCGAAAGTTTGACAGCTAACTAATGTTTTTCTTTATCCTTTTCCTGGATGGAATATGAGCGAAGAACAGCGGAAGAAGCCTGCAGAAGTGATGGCCCGGTTTGGGTTCAAGACGACCAGGGTCATAGACATTTGGGGGAAGTGGAAGGCGTGTGAGTACAAGGACATGTTTACTGCCAAACGAAAAGCCCACAGCCTTCGTTCTTCGGCCGTTAGGACCGACGAGTTCATCGCTGCCGTCAAGGAGACAGTCAACAATGATGGAAGCCAGGTCTACGCCAAGATCGCCGTTGATATGGGCTGTCACAAGTCGACGATATGCCGAACGATCAAGAAGGACATTGGTCACTCATCCGACCACAAGTCTCACAACATGCTCATCACGCATGTCTCCAGGGAGTCGAAAAAGGTCAAGGCGGCAGCTTTGCTGAACGAGCTCAAGCACGGGGCCGTCGGGATGCTAAGGTTCTCGGATGAAAAGAATTTCATCCAGGACCAGACGAGTGAAAGGCAGAACGACATATAGATCTGCAAAGACATCAAGGAGGTTACCGTCGTGAAACATACAAAGTTTCCATCCTCCGTCATGGGCCTTGGCGCCATCTCTAGCGAGGGAACATCATGTCACCATTATTCTTTCAAAAGGGCCTTAGAGTCAACGCTGAGATCTACCAGGAGGTTCTGAGGAGCGTGGTGAATCCCTGGATAGAGTAGATTGCCGCTGGACGCCCCTTAGGTCTTCCAGAAGGACTCCGCTCCTGCATACAAGACAAAGACGATCCAGGCATTGCTGCTCAACAATGTTCCTCACCACTGGTCGGTGGATTTATGGCCGCCATCCTCACCCGACTACAACCTCCATCGACTATTTCTTCTGGGGCGTGATCGAAGCGAAGACAAACAGACACGCCCACAAGACGGTCGACTCTCTGAAGACTATCTTCGTGGAGGCGTTCGCCGCTATAAACAATGACAAAATCGCCATAGCGTATGGCTGATTTCGGGCCCGCCTTGAAATGGTCGTCGCCGCCAGTGGCGGTTACATTCAAAAAATAATGTAGTATGTAACTCTAACTGTTGCTAAATAAACTGTCGGGTTTCTGCATATACAACTTTTGTTTTTACTGCCTATTTCATTTTCTTTTTGTCAAATGTTGGATTTTGCTGCAACACCCTGTACAATCTTCAAAAATGTCAATGCAACGTCATTCGCCATCTAGTATCTTCTTGAATCTCATTCATATTTTCTCATTTCTTCTTTTGTCATGAGTAATATATATATATATATATATATATATATATATATAAAATGTGTGTGTGTGTGTGTGTGTGTGTGTGTGTGTGTGTGTGTGTGTGTGTGCGTGCGTGAAAATATATAGAAAATAGGAAAAAACCCTTTATGAAAGGAAAAAAAAGAAGTCTCTATAGACACTTAACCAGAGTAGACGCTTTAAATTTAGACATGCCAACCTTACAGACATTGATCCAAATTATTAAGCCTTACGCCCCCTATTTTTCAAAATAATTGCTTTAGTCGTTACCATAGTAAATTTAATTTAAATAATGAATATGCTTATAAAAACGCGTAAATTTCAAGAATTATTTATTCCCAAAATCTAGCTTGAAGATGTAACAGAGATTGGTACTTTAATTCAATTTAATTCAAATAATTTTATTGAAGTTTTCGGTTATTGTTTTGAAACATGAGAACTCTTATGTAGCGATTGAATCATAAATTTAAAGAAGTAATTATATATATATATATATATATATATATATATATATATATATGTACAAATTTCGTTGGGCATATAAAGAAAGTACCCAATATTAGTTATATTAAATATGACCATAGAGAGAGCAAATTAAAAAGTAGTCAAGTAAAAAACACTATTTATATTATACTGTTATCTTATCTGGAAATAGTAGTTTCATCTATATGTTGCATTACACTGTTACATACGCACCATAGCAAAGTTACTACCGTACAAACAATAGGCAGTGAAAGAAGCAATTTGATACTCATATGTGTATCAAATTGCTTCTTCAATACATGCCCAACTGAAACTTCTAGTTATGCATAACAATATAATAGAGCTACGCTGTCTTATATATATATATATATATATATATATATATATATATATATATATATTTTACATTATTGTCCTCATTTTTGTTGCCATATTTATCGCAACGTTTCGGCCATTGTACGCTACAGCCTTCTTCAGGAGGTTCAACTGTCGAACTGAACCCTTTATTTCGCTCGGTGTGGTAGACAGTTGCATTTGTTTCTTTTTTTAAGTAATAACCATGTTGTCTACGTTGGACATGTATTTGTTTAACATAATATTGTTATGGAATGTAGCTTTATCGATATTACTAACGCAGATATAGCTGATTTTAACATCATGATAGTGAATGATTTAAGTGCTTATGAATTAAATTTAGAAAAATTCTACCGATATTTATTTCAACATAATGATTAAAATGTGTATTAAACCGTATACTGTTATACAAACATTTCTGCGTATTTTTTAACTTTGTTTATTTTCTAACTACTCTAAATACACTTGGGTATCGTATGAATCTATTTTTTGTCTCACCATCTCTGGATTGAATAGTAGGGCAGAGTGGGTCCTTATCTTGTTTGTAAAACCCGTCTATCACAAAAAAGAATCCGCAACATACAGTGAGAAAATCATCTACCTAGCCAATCACAAATCGAAAGAGACATAAACGCCCAAATGTTTATCGCGTAGGGGACTTAACCGAGTACTCAAGGTTCTCAACAAAATTCAAAGACGGATATGCAATGTGATCGATCCTGATTAGGGGTCTCGACTCGAATCACTTTCTCACAGACGTAATGTGGCTTCTCTCTGTGTTAAGGCCAGAAATAAAGACACAGGATACGAATTGAGATAAACAAATATATTAATAGAAACTGCAATACAAACATAAAAAAAACCGAGAGTGTTACAGGAAGAATGTTCGGTCCGACTGACAGAGCTGAATATTGGAAACTTTACTCTCCAAAATGCAGTGCCTGCTTTTATTTATAGCTTGGAGAGTCTATGCATGTGTGGATAAATTACCAAAGCAATTTTCTGCAAATATTTTCATGGCATTAATTCTGAACTATTTTCACTGGTGTCCCAAGTGCAAGAATTTAAGCGTGTTACTAGTTTGGCATCTCGGCCCAACACTTTTATTGTCGAAACAGTTAAATGTAACCGACGCTTCAACTCCAACAGATTCTTCTCTCATATTTCCTGAGAGTGGAACTCCTTTTTTCTTACTTGCTTCCTGAGAGCTATAATATAAACATTTAAATGTAATGTCAATTGACATCTTCTCATGCCTTGATCACCATTCTTTTTTCTATCCTTCTCTGTTTTTCTTTTTTATCCTTTCCTCACCCCACTATACCCAGTCTTTTCACTTACTTTCACTCTCTGTAGCCCCTTGCGTGCTAGTGGCACTTCTGCCTTGTTTGGGATGAAAATCTTTAAAAAAATGACACTTGCTATCACATGCTATATTTTTTCTATTCTCTTTCACTACACTTTACAGGAGTTAGAGGACGTGCATTCCAAGGTTGGACTTTGGAAATTATACATATACAAACATCAGGAATTTACCGTTCCACTCTAAACAGATATTTATTACAGCGGTCTTTTATTATATCAACGAACTACTAGTTCTGACTGAAAGCATGTTACAGTTATGACCATATCATGTTCATTATAATCACTGTATGCTAATTGTATGTTAATATATTGTATTTGTATGTTACTGTATGTGTATGTTGTTATACTATATTATTATATGTGCGGAAAATGTATCGATTATGAAGGCAGAAAGTGGAATGTTCGTGTTGCATTCACGTTATCACCGAGTCTAATATATTCATACTGCAGACATCCATCTTAATGTAGGATATATGATAGAAAACACTGAATGCAAATAACAATACGCCGTAAATAAAAGACAGGCTGAACAGTTTTGATAGAGTAAGCAATCTAAAATTAGAAATACTACAAAAAAAAAAAATTCAAATCTCTCGCTACTCTGCCGCTATTTCCATGTAAATTTTCCGAGAAAATCCATTCCTTATCTCCAACAGTCATGAAATTCACGGTTAAGGAACGTTATGCCATATACACAGGACAGAATTATCCCTATTCCATTACTAAGAAGGAAATCCATTTCGAATAGCTTTTTTCCCCCAAGAACGGTTGCCGCGTGGTAACAGACTACCGATAGATTACTAAACACAGCAACTGTAACCTCATCAAGTCTATTCTTAACAGATATCTTCGCGAAATATTCCATTAAACATCACTTATTACCTCCTAATTTTACAGGCAAAAACCTTCAATAGTAACCACCTACATAGATTAACTCATTGGCTTTCCATGGTATGAATAACTGATAAAAATAAAGCAAAAAAAAAAAAAACAAAAAAAAACCAAACAAACTGCATACAGCTGGTTTGGTTTAATTTCGCTGTCTTGTCAAACGTACACCCACTGCCACTACACTTATAATAGATAGCGTCTTGATCTAAAATATCGGCGAGCAGATTTCAAAGTTCAGTCGGATTGGTCACACTGACATACGCACAAATACGCACAAATACACCTCATACAGTTAAGAATCTACTCCCTAGCTATGGGTTAAATTGTGAAACTTGTATCTGAGTTCATTGTTATTCTAAAAAAATATTAATGTACTATTCACTCGCGAAAAAAATATTTTTACAATCCAAAATATGGTTGATAAATCATAAAAAAAAATATGGTTGATAAATCATAAAAAAATCATATGATTACTCAATGGCCCTATTGAGTTCCGTGAGTCATCTCACTGTTATATATGTTTACTTGTGTATGTTTATATCTGACTGAGTGTGTTTATTTATCCTCACTTTCATGATTTCATACACATGGACAGACAAATGTAATCGGGGGGAAGTACAAAAACTAATATAGACAGAGAAACATAGAAAAAAATGATTGCATACTTGTTTTAAGATTATACACGTGTATAAAACTACAGGCACATTTCTCTCGTTCTATATGATTTTCTTTCTCTATATCTCACAACATGTGAATCATCCACAGCATCCTTTTCTTTCTTTCTTTTTATTCTAGACTAACTTTTTTCCCTTCCTGATACAGTCAATACATTGTCCTCTAAACGTTTTCACACTTTCCTCTCAATCCACATTCTCGTCTATTCAGTTTTATTCTTTCGTTTTCGAGCACATCTTCTCGACTTCTTTGGATCACATGTGCAAGTAAAAAGCAATCGATTTTATCATAGGAATTTCGCAAATTCTTCTTCTATGTACAGGACGTGTGCAATCATGGTGTCCACATTAACCTCTCATATTTAGCTCTTACTATTTGACTTTTGTTATCTCTTCTCGTCGCTGTTTAGTCAGCAATTTACACAAGCGAGTTAGATAAGTTATGCATTGCTTTTCTCGTTTCCTCTTGCCTTTAATATGTCATATCAGTGCCAAATTTACTGAGCTCTCTTTCCTCATTATGTACCATGTGTTGCTACAAAAGTATGTCGAGAATGACATGGACTGAACATGTCAACAAATGAAATTTCTTATTAATAGATTTCTAATGACGACAACATTTGATTTAGGTTTTAATGACATTTTAGATCGTAATTGTAAATTTAAATCTATTAGAAATGAATAATGATCAAAGGACACGATTCTGCTACGTTATTTATACTGACCTATACTGACTGATACAATTCCACACTACCGTAATTTAATATCCATTTTCTGTAAATATTTTCACGATGATTGTCCGCCATGTCTCCTAATTTTACGGCTGAAATTACTCGTTATAAATTACTATTTATAAGTTCTATGCTGTTGAAATTCGCGCTTGTGGAATTCACTTCCGGTTTCTTGCTTGTCTGTCAACTGCTTTTTCCAAAAAACTAAATGAAATGTCATCATATTCTATCTCCTTGAATCCAGTGTTTTTTTTTTGTTTTTTGTTTTTTTTACTGTTCTTTTGGTTTCTTTCAACTTCAGTAACCCCTTGTATCTTAATTTTCTTTATTGCTTTGCATGGTGTGAAATGATAAAAAAAAAAACGTGGATTTGTCCATAAGTTTCATATATAAGGGTAATAACCTTCTTTTGTGTAGCGAATGGGCAGTATATTATCTACGTTTAGCAGGTGTCGCTTGCATCTGCATTTCTAGGGCCGGCGATTAAAGTCGCGTGGAATGAGGTGACACAATATGACAGGTAGTCAGATGATATGAAATAAGATACACTATTCCGAGTTTAGGGCATATAAATGTTGTTCCGGCAAATTTTTCTCTTGTTATTCCACTCAGTTTAGGCTATATAATGACAATCCTCGAACTCATTTAGTAGAACTGTGTTGTATTAATTACCAGAAGCCGTGAACATGAGTTTAAATAGTTTATAATGAAATGGTCAATTTTATGACAAGATTTGTGCATGTTTTCGAAGTCAATTCACTTTTTTTCCAAGACGGACAAACGGAGGAGTCCATTTCCAAGGTTTTGCATCCCGTCTGTGATATCAATTCTATATAATTGATAAATATAGAATTACGAGAGCAACATGGTTAATGTTATCCCTCGGCTGTCGAAGTATTATTGATTCGATATAATGGCTGATGTGGACATGTCGTTGATGTTATAAAAACATTAATGTAATGTCTGAGGTGGATAGAAGCAGCAAATAGCACCGGACATAGAAGTAGAAACATGCCCATGGTATGAAGCCGTAAGTAGGTGTAACAATTCAAATGTAGTTTGCGTAATATGTTAGGTTTAATTTTTAGCGGAGGAAGAGATGGATTGGCTAAAATATTCTTTGTAATTATATTAATCGTCTCTCTAAATAGGACAATGATAAATAAATTTTCGACGTCAAGTTAGGCTACGGTTCAATTATTATGTTTTTGAGTTTTTAATTTTAAAATAGTTCATAAGTTCCGTATTCCGAGAAAGACTTCCGGCTCCCCAAGGGCCTGACACCTCTAATGGCTGTGCTGCAGGAAAACAAACGAAAGGTCCGCCCGGTCATAGATTGTCGGGAGCTCAGTCAATATGTCGATGCGTAGATCACTGATGCAGATGTTTGCGCGCAAGATTAAGTGAATAATGACAAAAGGCCTGGATATCGCCATGCTGGATTTGTGCCGTGCTTACTTGCAGATCCATGCTGACAAATCGTTATGGCCCTTTCAAACAGTGAAAATAGACGGGAAAATATATTGCCTGAACACGTTTGGTGTTTGTGCTCAACTTGGCACCGTTGTAAATGTTGTGGTCGTACAGGAAATGACTATCCAGAGGGCCACGTCCGCATACATCGATGATATATTTGTCAATGAGAGCTTATGCACTGTGGTATCTGTTAGGGCACATCTTTAGTAATTATGACTAACAAGTAAGCATCCAGAGCGTTTAGAGAGTGGCAGGCGTCTGCCGGGAATACCTCTCTGGAAGGAGTTGGTTTTATAGTGGAACACCCCTATTCTATAGTTAATAGACTCTCCCACCTATAATAAGTAGGAGTAGTAAGAGTCACTTAGTGGGTCGGTCAGTCAGTCGATGCCGGGCGACCGTTAGTCGGATATTAAAATATCAGCCAATACAACTAGATTTCTCTGCGTTATACTTACTATATGAAGTTCCTAACGTTTTGTACATCGAACCTATTTTAGGACCGACTTAGTACGAATACAAGCCTCCACTGTGAAATCACTCTACAACAGTTGGGGAAATTGCAAAGAAGCTACAGGAGTGACCTCCCACCGATACCTAATACGCTCAGTCGTCGAAGCATATTCTCCCTATGTAGGAGATTGTCTGGATAGTTGCCAAACTGTGGCTGGCTTCACTTCGTAACTTCATTCATAAAACGGCGCACGGAATCTGTCGCGACCAGCTGGGACTATAATGTGCGGGATGGACCAATGCCTGACGATGATTCTGCTAGACATCATTAACATAGAGATCTGGCACACGGTGACTGATGCTTTGATAGACACTTGTGGGTTGATACAAGCTCCTTGGCGACTGGCATCGTTGTAGAATGCTTCAAATCCCTGGTTGAAAATGTCTGTTCTTTGCGAAGACAAGCATATCAACCCGGCAGAGCTCGACGCGATCTTAAGAGGCATCACATAGCACTGCAATGTAGAGCGACTGTGGTTCACCTGAAGATTCAATCGATGTGTGTGCATCAATGGGTTTCTGATACGTTATCTGGAAAGTCTCGAAGGCGCAGAAAGGCGGCAACAGAAATGTTAATAAGACATCGGCACAGCACACTCAAGAAACTATGGAGACATGCAAGTTGACTCTTGGCATATAGCTCGTCAGACCGCATGCAAACCGAACAGATTAGCTCAGCAGAGTGCCTCAAACGTTAGCGGGGTGCGGTTTGGAAAGAAATGTAACCAGTGTGCGCCGCATCTATAGAAGAGCAAGAATCAACCCACATTCAAGCATAACATCGACGTATTGAGCATCTTTGTGTGAAGTACATCTTGTCTTTTGTAATACAAATCCACCCTGAGTTCTCGGATGGTGGTTGAGAGTGAGACGTGTAGCAATTCCTGGACCCGGCGCCAGTGCATTGTAAGGGTGAGCGGTTTAATGTGTGCGAGAATTATTATACAGGCTGGCATTACCTGACTGATAGACTGTGGCCGTTGTCGGTTTTCCATCTGACGAAAAACGCTACCACATCAGGACGCTGCCAGCATCATCTGGCAGCTGGAGTTGCTATTCCTAGAGAAAGGTTCATCTGCCGAGCTGCTCATGACATTGGTGCAGCATTCTGTGTGGACGTCTTCGCGAGGTTTACAGAGGACTGAGATGACCTATTTAGATTCCGGTGGGCCTATCAACCATCTGGGAATGTCAGAGAGAAAATGTCAGGAGAAATGCCATCGCACCAACAAAACATTGCACGGTCGGTATATTCCATTACGGAGACGTTATATCGGTATAACGTGATGTCAAATGATGATGCTTCGTCAGCACCAGCTGACTCTCTATATAAATATCAATCGCGCATAAAAGGTATCAATGTTGCACCACCATTTGAACACACAGATCCTGGAATCTACACAGTGGGAAATGCGGTATGAGTAAAGGACTCCACAATGGTTGATGTTCTACGCAATTTAAAAAAAGAACAATGACATGGGTTCTACAGCCCACATTCAGTTCTCGTTAATGGCACTCCATACCATACCAGAGACATCTGCCCGCGTCAGAGATCTTCATCTTCGGAAGATGATGGCAGTAATACGTCGTCTGAAAATGACTCAGATTCGCCGCTGTTTTTAGTGCAGGATCAGATTATCTGTCTATGGAACCAGCGGAAACATATGCTGCAGACGACGATGATGATGTCAATAACGAAAGTGACCAAGTGGGCACAAATGCAGAAGAGACGGACGGATCGCGTCCATCTTTACAAGGCGATCGCCATATCCGTGTCAGTTATGTGATCAGGAGATCAGGAAGGTTGTAGAAGAGAGGATGACTTACCTCGTGTGGCAAAGCAAGCACTAATATTCCTGGCGTCAAAACGATTGAAGGAAAGGAAAAAGAAATATGGCCAACCTGACACCTTAATTTAAGAAAGATACGATAGTGGAGCTCTTAGAATTAGCAAGAGTGGTTGCGAGATCAGCTCGTTATAAAAAAAAAAAAAAAAAACGCCACACAAGAGAGAATACCTGATTTCGCTTGTGAACATGTTGCTGCCTGTACGAAGAAAATTTGTCAGTTGTAAAGATATTACTTGGATCAGTTTCACACAGTATTTACTAGGTATGTATAGTGTAATGATTTGGTTAATTGGTAAGTCGCAGTGAGGATTTGGCATATGATAGAATGGAAAGCGAAGTTAGGTTTGTGTACTTTTTATATTTCCATACATGGAACATTTGTAGTCACCAATTATTTTGGGAAGTTTTAATCTCTTCTGCATTATTGGTTGTGATCAGTTTATTGATTTTCAATTTCAGTTGGTTAGGAAGATTTTTTTGACTTTTCTAAATTTGGTGTGATCGTCGAGTAATGGTTGTAATTTTGAATTATAATCAGATTTATTTAATAC